GGTTCAGGGTGTAGCGGTTCTGACGTCCTCTTTAGGTTCCTTCCCACCACCATGTGTGATCCAAGTTCTCACACTCGCTCCTGGCTTTCTCTCCTGCTGGTCAGCATGAGTTCAGTCTTTCCAACAGGTGGGTGACTGTAACAGCCTCTGTGATCCCTGCTGTCAGTCTTTTCTCTTCCCATTCCGTGTTTTTCAACCATGGTGATCATGTATCACCGTCGTCTGTTATTACTTTATCTTTCCTTTAAAACGGCTCACTTTTTACTTAAAGTACTTTCAAGTGGATTTGTTACAAAGAAAAGATTTGAATAAAGGAGCACTTGACAACAACAGAAGGTAGCTTTCCCATAAGTAGTGATGTGCGTGCCGTTCATTGTGGCGGCTGTGTTTTCAGTTATGCAGTGTATTAAATGGAGCTCTGGTGGCGCAGTGCCTAAGGCACTTGACTGCTAACCAGAAGGCTGGTGGTTCAAACCCACCAGCTACTCCTCGGAAGGAAGATGGGGCAATCTACTTCCGTAGTGATACTGCCTTGGAAACCCAAGGAGGGCTCACTATGAGCCAGGTCCGACTTGACGGCACATAACAACAACAACAGTGTATTAAACACTAAACTGTGAAGTGAAAGTGTTCTCGTCCCACCTGGACTCGTCTTGCATTCCATTAATCTGGTGCCATCACAGTGAAGCCTGAGGTAGTTCCCAAACCCTCCTTTCATCACCCTGTCATTCCCGTGTTTGGAAAATGGCAAATATCACTCTTGTCCCACATTCACTGGTCTTTAATCTGGGATCAGGACGCTCCTGAAAAGCCCTCTGGAGGAGGGAGGATTGGTGGCTGTTCACAGGAGCAGACAGAGAAATGGGTCTTCCTGGTGAGGAGCTCTGTTGTTGTTGTGTGCCGTCGAGTTGGCCCCGACTCATAGCGACCCCTCCTTGGGTTTCCGAGGCAGTATCACTACGGAAGCAGATTGCCCAACCTTCCTTCCGAGGAGTGGCTGGTGGGTTTGAACCGCCAGTCTCCTGGTTAGCAGTCAAGTGCCTTAGGCACTATGAGACCAGAGCTCCCTGGTGAGGTGATGGGCTGAGCAAAGTGACAGAGATGTGAACGCCCGGGGGAACTTGCCAAAGGCTCAGGAGCTGGACGGCTCCAGCTTAGGGGTGTGTGAAGGAGGAGATGAAGGCAGGGTGGGAGAGGGGGACCCCGCTGGAAGATGCTGTGTGTCCCAAAGGAATCAACAGAGGGCACAGATGAGGGCTGGGAGGTTGCTTTTCGTTTATTATTAATTAAAGTAAGAGTTCTGGCAACACTCCGGAGTTTGAAAAACTTTGTAGATTCAGGAAGGTCAACCAGGTCTTGGTCCTCAGTGGGGTGGATGTGACGTGATCAGAGCAAAGGCGCACCTGTATTGTGTTTTTGTCACAAGAACTGCTTCACTGTTTGCTGGATTCTATGGAGTAGGGTAGGGAATGCTCCCTTCTATTCCTAGAAAAATCCACTGCCCTGGAGTCTATTCCAACCCACAGCGCCCCTAGAGGACAGAGTGGAACTGCCCACAGGGTCTCCAAGGCTGTCAGTCTTCACAGAAGCAAAGCCCAAACCACACCCACTGCCCTGGAGTCCATTCTGACCCACAGCGCCCCTGGAGGACAGAGTGGAACTGCCCACAGGGTCTCCAAGACTACAATTTTCACAGAGCCGACTGCCTCATCCTTCCCCCGCTGAGGGGCTGGTGGGTTACAGCGGCTGACCTTATGGTTAGCAGCTGAATGCTTTAACCACAGCACCACCAGAGCTCCCAGCCCTCCTGGAGGAGGTGGTAATGGATAGCGAGGAGTTCCTGGGGGCTTGGCCCACGGCAGTGGTTTAGTCGTGGTTAGGGCCCTCTGCATCATAGCAACCCGGTAGGCAGCGGAAGGAAATGCTTTCCGGTTCCGCACCGCGCTCCCAGCTGTGGCTCTGGTTGAGCTCAGTGTTGCAGCCGCTCTGTCAGGGCATCTGGGTGAAGGGCTCCCGCTGGTTTTGGCTGACTTTCCATTTCACCAAGGACGATGGCCTTCACCAGGAACTGGTTCCCCTGACAACTGTCTGAAGTGCATGAGACGGAGTCTTGCCGTCCTTGTTCTAAGGAACTTGTTGGGTGCTGTGAAATCGGTTCCAACTCACAGCGACCCCATGCGCAACAGAATGTAAACGCTGCGTGGCCCGTGCCACCCTCACCATCCCTGCTGTACCTGGGCCCACTGTCGCAGCCACTGTGCCAGTCCACCTCCTTGAGGGCCTGCATTTGTTCGCTGACCCTCCACTTCCCCAAGCATGACATCCTTCTCCAGGGAACGGTCCCTTCTGACCACATGACCCAAGTAGGTGAGATGAAGTCTCACTTCCAGGGAGCATTCCAGCTGCACTCCTTCCAGGACCGATTTGTTCCTTCTTCTGGTGGCCCATGTTAGGTTTACAAAGTTGTCTATGTGATTAACAAGACCGACATGCCCCACAAACAGTGGGGTGACTGGTGGACTCTTATTTTGGTTCAGACTCCAAGCAACTCCTTCAGCTGTCCAGGGCGTTGAAGTCAGTCTATCAGGAGGGCTTGGGTAGCCCCACTTCCAGATCCTGTTCCTACAATCATTCCACACCCCAAGCCAGTCCCCAACTCTGGGGGTCAGTATGCTTCATGATGACAAAGGCAGTTGTGGTGGTTACGTTTGTGTGTCAGCTTGGCTGGGCCTGGCTGAGTGGCTGGGCCGCTTGATGTAGTACTCCCCATGATGAAACTGGTCATCAACTCCATGGTGGAATCTACTGGGAGCAGCTGAGTAGCTGCCTTAGGCATGCAGTATGCTTCATGTATATAAGCAGAAGCCTTGGGGAACAGTCTCTAGCTTATGGCTTGAACCCTGCACATAGGCAAGTGGTTGTTCACCAGCCTGCCAGGCTCTGCCGACCTTGGGACTTTTAGTGGACTTGAATCAGTGGCCTGTCATGTGGTTTGGTAACCTCGGGACTGTGCCTTTTCACTTGTCAACCTTGGGCTTGTCAGCTTCAGCAGCCAGCAGCTGAGTGAAGAAAAGCCTCCAGCTTCAATGGGCCAAGAGCAGGAGGCAGAGCTGAAGGCCAAAGTTGAGGGGCTTTCACCCAGCTCCTAGAGCCTGGCACATTGAACTCGGACTTAAAGCCTCCAAACTGTAAGGAAAAACTCCTGTTTGTTCAATCATCCCGTTTGTGGCAGATTCCTGTCAGAGCAGCACTAGCTAACCACAAACAGCAGTCCTCACCCAGGGCAGGTGTTTGAAGGGTATACCATTAACATTTGTAATTTCATTAACTTAAAAACATAATAGACATACCCAATTCAGTGACAAGGAGCTCTGGTAGCATAGTGCCTAAGGCACTTGACTGCTAACCAGAAGGCTGGCGGTTCAAACCCACCAGCCACTCCTCGGAAGGAAGGTTGGGCAATCTTACTTCCATAGTGATACTGCCTCGGAAACCCAAGGAGGGGTCGCTATGAGTCCAGGCCGACTCCAAGGCAAATAACAACAACAACAATTCAGTGACATATGCACCATCACCATGGTCCATTTCCAAATTTTTCCAGCACACAATGGTTGAAGTGGCAAATGTTTTCTTATATATATATATATATATCACCACAATAAAAAAATTTAAAAATAGAAAATTGGCATGAATAGTCCTGGCTAATGCCAAAGGCCTCTCCCTCCCCCTGCAAAAAAAAAAAAAAAAAAAAAGGAAAAAACGATAATATATCTACATAGAACAACAACAAAAATAAAATCAAAAGATTGTGCAGAGGAAATTCTGCTGGCCGCTTCAGGTCTCCTCTCTACAAACAGTGTATCCTTTCGGAGACACGCTGTCCATACACTAGCAAAAAGATTCTAATTTCAGGTTGAATTCAAGAACTAACCCAAGTGTACTGGAGTGAAAGGAATATATTTAGCATACAAAGAAGAAATAAACAAGCTCGTATCGAAGCAGTCTCTCCACCTTCGCGAGCCGCGGCAGCGCTCTGAGAAGTCCCCGGGACACCTGAGCTGTCCCCCGGCTCTGCGAGCACACGCAGCTCGAACAGGCAGATGGGACGGACCTCACAGGATGACTACGGAGCTGTGGGCGAGCTGTGCGTTGAACCAGCGCGACTTCCTCCTCTCGTTGTCACCAGGGCAGAAGTGTCTGAACGTCAGATTTATCTTGATCAAGAGAAAGAGTACCCTTTAGGTGTGGGTTGGTTCTAGGGTCATTTGGAGTGCTATCAATATTGCAGCTTTTCTAACTCACTGGAAAAGAGGTGCAGGTATTTCAATTTTGTAAATGAAACAAACCTCAAAGAACGAGGACCAATTGCCTTCTGTTCAGTTCCGCCCCACGGGCCCCTTGTTGAGCGTCGTGGATGTTTACAAAGGCCGCTTGGCGGCGTCAGCCACCCAGGAGCCTCGTTAGCGCAGTAGGTAGCGCGTCAGTCTCATAATCTGAAGGTCGTGAGTTCGATCCTCACACGGGGCATCCACTTGTTTTGCTGCTGTGGCGGCGTTATTGTGAAGGATCAGTGCGAGAACAGTTCCCAGTGACCACGATGTCTCTCTCTTCCTGGGGGACGCCCTCCTTTTACTGGTAGCTGCAGGTCCGCAACTTCGGGCTCGGAGCAGGGTGTGTGCTCGCTGGCCGGGGAAAGGGGGCGCGGAGTCTCAGGTCACCTCCGCCTACGGCGGGAACAGGGGCGCCGGAACCCCTGCGGCCTATCAGCCGCACGCGGGGGCCCTCTAGCGCCCTCCCGGCGGGCTCCGGGAATATCCGCAGGGGGGGGTAGACCGGGCGGGGCCTCCCAGGGCCAGGAAGGCGCTCCCGGGGGGAGGGGCTCGGCTCCTGGGGGCGGAGCCGACGCAGCGCGCTTACGCCTCCCGGGGCGGGACCGGGGGCGGGACCGGCGGCGGGCGGCGCGTGCGCAGAGCGGCGCGGCGTCGCCGTTAGTCGCTGGCATGGCGGTGTGCGCTCGCCTCTGCGGTGTGGGCCCGTCCCGGGGGTGCCGCCGGCGCCAGCAGCGCCGAGGCCCGGCCGAGGCGGCCGCGGCAGACAGTGAGCCGGACACGGACCCGGAGGAGGAGCTCATCGAGGCGGGCCCGGCGCTGGTCGGGAACGAGCCGGGCCCCTCGGCCTCGCGCTGCTCGCTGCTGGAGCTGCCGCCAGAGCTGTTGGTGGAAATCTTCGCCTCGCTACCCGGCACCGACCTGCCCAGCCTGGCCCAGGTCTGCACCAAGTTCCGGCGCATCCTCCACACTGACACCATCTGGAGGCGGCGCTGCCGGGAGGGTGAGTGTTGGGGAGCACCGGGACTGTACCCGGCAGGGCGCGTGCGGGGGTGGCCAGGGCCCCCGGGTGCTGTGGGCTTTGGGCTTGGCTCCGAGGGGCGCATGGACTACAGGCCTGGGAGAGGGCCCTCCGCAGATCTAGGGCCCCGGGGGTGCCCGCCGGGGCCGGGGCTCGTCTTGCAAGGGGGCCTGTGGGGGAGGGTGCCCAGGGACCCGGACGGGGGCTCTGCTACAGATTCGGGGTGCAGGGGGTCCCCGCCAGCGCAGAGGCTAGCTCTGAGAGGGTGTACCTGGAGGGATGACGGGGGCTTGGGAGGGGTCGCATGGGGGAGGGTGACCTCAGGGCAGCAGCGTCACGCGGTGTGGCGGACTGCACCAGGTGACTCTGGCACAGGGGGTAATACCAGAATGCCTGTCTGTACGGTTTCTCTGTAGCGTTTCAGCAGAAACCCCTTATTCTTTGCAAAAATACCCCTGTAGTTAGTTATAATGACATTACCACCTCTGGTGGGCCCGGCTTGCCTGTGTCTGCACCTGCAGGGCCAAATCTGTGCTTGTTTACTTTTCGGACCTTCTAAGGGCCCCGGTCAGAACTGTCATCATTAGCCAATCAGCATGCTCTGCTCATCACGTGGCTTCCGCTGCGCCCTGCCGCGAGCTGGCGCTGTGGCTTTTCCTGCTGCTGGTGTTTTTAGGGTAGGGTTGCGATCGCCTCAAATTTTCTGCTGTTTTTAGCTGCAGTATTGTTTGTGGACCTGTATCAATAACTTTTTTGAGAATGAAGGAGTAATTAAAGGAAAAGAAGGAGAAAAAACAAAAAGGATTTCCGTTCAGTCATACTGTAACTACCCCCCCCCCCCAAAAAAAAAGAACCAAACTCACTGCCATCCAGTTGGATCTCACTCCTAGCGATCCCTCCTTGGGTTTCTGAGGCGATATCACTATGGAAGTAGATTACCCATCCTTCCTTCCGAGGAGTGGCTGGTGGGTTTGAACAGCCAGCCTTCTGGTTAGTAGTCAAATGCCTTAGGCACTGCGCCACCAGAGCTAATAATGTTATAAATCAAAGTTGTTAGTATCTCCGTATTCTAAAACAACACTGAAGCAACTGACGACTATATTTATCATGTTATTCTATGATTAAAATTTATAACAGACGTTACTAAAGGTTCTGTGTGGTCTGGCTCAGGTGGTCCCCGGGGAGGGTGACACCAACCTTTATGACACCATTGCCTCAGGGGGCTTTGGAGGGGTCGGGGCAAGGTGGAGGTGCCAGGTGGGGAGTGCAGCCTGGCATGGTCTGCTCTGTGGGCTCAGAGAGGGGCTGAGGGGTGACCCCAGCTGCAAGGGCACAGGACTCTGGAGTTGAGCGGGGGTTGGGAGTTCACTGCAGTGTGAGTCCCTGACAGGAATACAATACATTGATGTCTGTGGGTTCTCTCATCCATCCCCAGCCCTTGGCGGGCAGATCTGAGGGCACCCCAGGGCAGAGATGGCAGCAGGGGCACCTGATGGTGGGTGCACCCAGTATGTACGGAGGTGCCAGGGGGCCAGGAGCAGTGTTGGGGGAGTAGGAGTCATCTCTGCCGTCGGCGTTGTTTGCTGTGTGCGATCAAAAGCCAAGGGTGCTGGTGGTGGTTGGGAGGCTGCCCAACTCTACACCAGGGAGGGGAGGGACACACAGCCTCCAGTTCAAGGCTGCCTGGGGTTAAACGGTGACAGGGTCTCATGTTAGAGCAGCCCTGATTTTGATTAGTACAGACCAACCACGCAGAATAGGAGAAGGAGGAGGAAAAGTGGGGGGACCCTGTCGGTGGAAGGCAGAGCAACGACAGAGTGTGCATATGTTTTGTCTGACTGGGGCTGGCATCTGCATCCCTGTGTCCACCAGCACAGACTAGCCCCTTCTGGTCGACTGTCACATTCTCCATTTTCCCTTGTTCTACTCAGTGCTACGGAGAATGCCTTCGCGAATTTTGCAGGAACTCATGAGTTTTACATGTGCCGTTTAGAACCTCTGACGTCCTCTTCCTAGCATTCATGCCCCAAGTGGGAATCTGGGGTGATGGGGTGTGGATAAAAACGCATTTGCGCCGCCAAGAAGGGAAGGCCTCTCTCCAAACCCACCCAGCACAGAGTTAGTCAGCCACCTCGTCTTTTTGGTGGTTGAGACCCTGGACTTGTAGTCAGCCACCCTGGGTTATGGTCAGGGCTCTATTTATCCATGGGACCCTGGACAAGTCAGTTTTCCTTGTCTCTGGAGTGGGTTGGTGGCGATGCTGCCCGAAGATGCACGTGGCACCCTTGCCGCTAAATGCCAGCTGCTCTGTCAGGATGCTTCCTGGCCATCTTTCTCCCACCAGTAGTGCGTTGCCGTTCTCTGTCCTGTCTTCTTCTTTGTCCATTGGGGTGTCTTTTTGTGCCATTAATTTGTAAGAACTCTTTGCGTATTAGCGACATGCACTTTTGGTCCCATGTGGTAAGTGAAGGCTCTTCTTACGTTTTAAAACGGAGGCAAAGTAACGCTTCCTATCCTATTCATCTGCTTGGTTTTGCTTTTGTCAGGCAGTAAGAGCCCAACTCTTTACACAAGTCCCATTGTCCTCAGAGGACTTGCTTCCGTCAGTCACCCAGGCCCGTTTGGTGATCTCCAGGGGTTTGTCTTTGGGGACACTGTCATGTGTTTGGCTCAGCTCCAAGAACAGGGAGTAGCAGAAGATTTCCCATGTAATTGAGAAACTCAGACATCCCAGTGAGCAAAGGGAGCTTGGTTTCAGAATGGCTCTTGGCACGTAGGTGGGCCGGCCTGGGGAAGACGGGAGAGAAGCCGGGCTCGCAGGTGCATAGAAGACCTCCCAGCCTCTCCCTCCCACAGCCTTTGTGGAACACCATCATGGACTTGCCCAGGAGGCCTTGTCTGTAGGAGGACTTTTGGTTTGAAAAATGAAAAATGGTATGACATGTGTGTTCCCAGTTATCCCACCAAATAGGTGTTAAATCCCTTGTCATATTTGCTTTTTTAAGAAAATAATTTATTACCCTGTTGTTGGCTTGAGAATATACACAGCCAAACATACACCAATTCCAGTTCCTGCACACATGCCTCCGTCACCCGGATTCCAGTCCTGGAGTGGTGACTGGTCTCGCCTCCCCTTCTGGGGGTTCCTCCTCCGTTGACATACACTCTATGCCCCCTGAGTCATAGTGGCTTTTGGGTCCTCCACTGTTTTAGTGGTGTTCTTTTAAATTTTTGTTGTGATTGAGTGAAAGTTTACAGAGCGAATTCATTTTCTGTACACCAGTTGACACACATTTTGTTCATGACGTTTACTGTAATCTGCACACTGTAACAGCTCTCTTCCCACTTCTTCCCTGCAATTACCACTTCCCTGTGTCCTTCTTTCCTATGCACTCCTGCCCCTGAGCAAATACTGCCCTTCTATTCTCCCACGACTGATTGCTCCAAGGAGTGTATCTAACTGATGTAAATGTTCACCCCATATGCCTATCTGTTGTTTGGCTGGAAGCCGCAGGGATGAGTTCAGTTTCAGACCTGATGGGTGACTAGGGCTTTGGTCACGGGGGTCTCACCAGGCTCTATCAGACTTTTTCTGGGTGTTTTTAAGGAAATCTCTCTGCTTGTCCTCAGGTCCCCTCTGCTGGCCCTCTCTGTCCACTCCAGGCACACTGACGGGGGCGTTACTGACATCTTTCAGCCATCCTTCCACCTGCTCACGTCACCAATACCAAATGTCCCGTGGGATTTTAGTTTGCAGAAACGCATCGTACTGTGTGGATCATTCTGCACTGTTTCTAACTTCTGTGCATGCTAACACCTTTAGGTCTCAGGCAGTCTTTTTACTGTCATGCAGAAGTTCACCGGGCAGGCCACCCTTTGTTCCTCTCTTACTTTTACTGTTTTTGTCACACATAGTGTTGGAGTGACATCGTCTCATACATAATTCCTCAGACACTTACATTGATGGCAGTTTCTCTAAGGACTGTAACCAGAAGAGGTGCCACAGGAGTGCCATGGTACGGCACCTGCCATTTTACCAGATCCGTGTGGAATGTCGTCGAGTTGACTCCTACTCATAGCGACCCCGCGTGACACAGTAGGGCTGCTCCCCGGGGTGTCCTAGGCTGTCATCTTTACAGGAGCAGATCACAGAGCTGCTGAGTGGGTTTGAACTGCCGACCTTTTGGTTAGCAGCCAAGTACTTAACTGTTGTGCCACCAGGACCCCTACCTGACACTGCCCAGCTGTTTCCCAGCATATCTGCACACCTGTCACAGAAGGTGGAATGAAAACCTAAGTGTTGTCACCGAATAGCTGCCATTTGGGGCCTAAGTGCCTTAACTTACCCCAGTCAGGCCATTTCCCCTCAGTTCTCTCCTGCGTGTAACGATGCATCTTCAGATCCGGGTGAAGCCACCATCGCATTTCACGTGCGTGTGCCAGATAACCAGTGTGGCCCCGCACTGACACCTGCCCTTTGTCGGCCATTCAGATCCTCCTCGATTTGCTTCTCAGTGCCCCATTTTCTGGGGACTTCTTCCCCATGTGCTCAGGGTGCACTAAGCCCCGTCCCCAGGTCATCCCTGCCTTGCACACAGACCTGGGAATGTGGTGACTTTGTGGTGCATGTTTTCACGCAGGGGATGCTGGGGACGTAGGGAGTGTGAAGCTACTGTGAGGCTTGTGCCTCCTGGCCCCAGCCCTCGTGACCATTCCCATGTGTTACCATGTCCACCGTTGCTTACTGTTGGGCTTAGACACTGGCAGTGGGTCTGGGTGGCAGACAGCTCCTTGAAACTAGTAATAGTAACAATAGGGATGAAAACCACTGCGGCTGCTTCTGCTGCTGACATGGCTACCCCCCCTCCCCTTTTTTTTCCTATTCATTTTTCTTGCTGACCATGGGCTTTGTTTAGATAATCTGGAGAGATGTCTGCTTAAGAAATGGAAAAATATTTGCATATTTGCTTGTAATCATCATC